TCGTTATCGCTTCTCGGCTCTCTGAGCTAAGATCATGTGTAGTATCTGTTCTTTGCAGTGTAATTTCTGCAACGGTCCCTAATTTGGGGCCAATGAAATTACCTGTATTTTTCCAACCGGGACGGGTGCTATGAGCTTGCTCAACCCCGTCCACGGGTCGGCCTCGTATTGCATTACCTCGAGGATTGGCCCAATTCATTACTGACAAATAATACAGCCTCTCTCTCCCACCCTCGCACTCTCTCCCTCAGCTACCCTCCTCCTAGCGCGTTCCACGTCCACACATCCCTCACACATTTTCACCTCCTGCGTGCCGCTTCCAACCCGTCTCGTCTGGCCTCACTCGCCTCGATCCCTCCACGCTCACACTCCGTACTCACGGCTCCCAACACTAATTGCCCAATTCACCCCTCCATCCGCACATCGCCGTTCGAGCTCCATCGATTATATGAATTATGATCAATTTTTTTCATTCTCTCTGTATGATTATTACTCTCTTCTAGGAGTGGTCCTAGGCATTAATTGCATCAAAGGTCAGTCCTATGGTGATAACCCTTACCCCCGCGAAGTGGCCTTAAACATGGTGATCATATGTCTTAGGGTGACGTACTCGTCTTCGTTTTTTGCACATCCTTTGGGCCCAAAACGGATGTGAGTGTGCACAGTTCAAAGAGATAAAACATGATACGTAAATATTCATTACCATTTTATATTTATTTACCGTACAAATTAGATCCTCTGATTCCGTCCACCCCTCACTATCACCAAAGGTCAAATTTTCAATAGCTCGATTGAAGGTTAAGATAGTGTGTTTATAAAAACTACTATTTTTAAAAGTAAACTGATGATACTACTGGATCTTGTCTAGTATAAAGTTATTGTCTGCAACATGGTTGGACACGACTTATTTGCGGCAAACCGTTACTAAATACATGGACTGATATCGATACAAGGGATCGAAGCATCTTATATGGAGACAATAGGTAAAAAAGACAACATCTTTGGTGAAGCTGTGAAGTGGGTAGTAATTGCACAACCCTCAGCAGGTTGCTAAAAATGCACTTGGTGAGTAATCGAAGGATCAGACACCGGCTATGGAACTTGTGCAATCTTCTTCTCTTCGTTGAAGATCTGATGTCCCTTTTCAGCCTAGAAAATGGATGAAACATTAATTACTCGAAATTAGACTTATTGCCCAAGCCCAATGGGAGAAGCGTTAATTAAGCTTATTATAGAAAGAGGGAGAGAATCCTGGATTCGTTCTGCCACATCTTTTGTTCACAAGAAATAAGCGACTCCATTGAGTTGCCAACACATCGCCGGATACGCTCGAATGAACTTTGATCTCGCGGCCTCTGACTTTGCAGAAGTGTCCATTGACCTCCGCACCACCGAGCATGAAATTAGGAAATAGATTTGCACACTCATTGTAGTTGATCAAACGGCGTAGACACAATTTAGAAGCTTATCGGGAGGAACCTTCGCGATGCTGTTGTAGACTGCATGCATTGAATCATCATAATCTAAGATAATGAGGGAACAACGACTTTGACCATCATAAATGCGCATATTCCCTCCATCATGTGTTTCAGTAGAACTCCTTACTTTCTGCTTGGATTCTTCATCACAAAATTAAACCTATAATAGAATCAGCATCACGATTGCTTTACCGAATTGATGTAAACATTAAAGAACACCTTTTTACGCATGGACAATCAGGGCAGGGAACAAGATTATGAGATCTCGTGCGACAGTGGCAGCAATACTTTATGAGCCCATTCATAAGCCCAGAGTGCCATAAACCATACCAATCTCCAACACACTTTAGGTTACCAATCCTTGGCCTTTCTCGCCTGGTTTCTGCTACCACCTTTCCTATACACCATACTGTTATACAGCTAAAACTGGTAACTGTGGCTGGATTCGGTAAAACAAGGATGAGCAAGTCCACCATTTGGTCATCTGGATACACGTCACATATATCAATTGGCCGTCTCAAGTCACCATTTCAGCTTGAAATTTTGTAACTAACGCCTTGGAGGGGGTGGGGGGGGGGGTTAGGCCTTA